GCAGACACAATTGAGGGAAGATGCTTTAAGAGAAGAATTTTCTGGAACTTTGGCTGAAAAAGTGAGCTCTCCTTCCTGAAATTCCTGCTCATTTCTTTAACAAATATATTTCACTTAGTTTCGCTATTACATAAAGTTCCATAATGGTTTGCAAACTTGGGTTCTTAATTTTTCCTCCTTGCTAACTATGCAGGAAGATGAAATAAAGGAGAAAATTGCAAAAATTGAGCATGCTGAGAAGTGTTTAACAACCCTGAATTTGGAGTTGAAGGTGAGATTCTTGGTTCTAAGAAGTGTCCCGGAGAAGCACTATTATCACGTGCACTAAAAACGATAAGACTTATGTCATGCATGTGTATAATGATTTATTTATTTTTATATATTCTTGATGCATCTGGCGTATTTCATTTATTCTAGGTCTTTTGTTATGGTCATGCATGTGTATTGAGGCCTGAGCTTATGCATGGTCTCTACTACCTAGGTTTCTTGTCTATTATTTATATTTGCATGTTCAGCTCTTTTGAGAATAAATGCTGCATCTGACCTTGCAGGCTGCAGAATCTAAGATAAGGAGTTATGATACAGAAATATCATCACTGAGGATTGAAATTAAAGAGTTGACTGAGAAATTGAAAGCTGAAAATGCCAAGGCCCAATCATATGAGAGGGAAGCAATGGTATTTCGGCAGGAGAAGAACCATCTAGAACAGAAGTATGAGTCTGAATTCAAAAGATTTGATGAGGTCCAGGAAAGGTGTAAAACTGCTGAAAAAGAAGCTGCAAGGGCTACTGAAGTGGCTGATAAAGCACGGGCTGAAGCAGGCATGGCTCAGAAGGAGAAGAGTGAAATGCAGAGACTTGCAATGGAAAGACTGGCAGAGATTGAGAGGGCTGGGAGGAGAATTGAAAATTTGGGGAGGGAGAAAGATAATCTCGAAGCTGAATTACAGAGAGTAAGGGATTCGGAGAAGGATGCACTTAGCAGAGCTGTGAAACTAGAGGAAAAGGTGCAACAGAGAGAGAAGGATTTGGAAGCCCTTTTGGATAAAGATAAAACACACCGGCGAAATAGTGCACAGATTCTTGAACAACTTCTGGAAACAGAACGTGAAGCACATGCACAGGCAAATAACCGTGCTGAGGCTCTCTCTCTGCAGTTGCAATCTGCACAAGCCAAAATTGATTCTCTCCATCAAGAGCTGACTAAATTTCGACTGAATGAAACTGCATTCGACAGTAAGCTAAACACTGCTTCCCATGGTAAACGTATGAGGGTAGATGACAACGTTGGCGATGAGATGGATACAAGCCCTAGAATTGTAAAGGGAACGAAAAGAACTAGGAGTACATCCAGTCCTCTCAAGTACACACAGCCAGAAGATGGTGGTTCCATCTTTGAGGGTACCGAAGAGAATCTTAGTCAGCAAACAAATGAGGAGGACTATAAAAAGTTTACCATGCAGAAGCTTAAGCAAGAATTGACAAAACATAACTATGGTGATCAGCTTCTTCGGTTGAAGAATCCCAACAAGAAAGATCTTATTGCTCTCTATGAAAAATGTGTTCTTCAGAAGTCGTAGCAGATTTTGAGGATTTGTATTTGTCTGGTGCATATCATCTCACCTGGGTTGTTCTAAATCTCATTCGTACCTCGGTTGCTGAGATGCAGACTAGAAATGTGTGAATTTAGCTTTTTTTTTGTTTAGTGATTTTACACATTGGGTGTGTTTGCTTGCTTGCGTTTACTAGCAATGATTATCATTCAGGCCGTAGAAAATTTTAATGGCCCGATCTTTTATTTATTGATTGCTCGAGTCAGTTGTATTTAATACATCTGTATAGTTTTTATTTGTATTTATTTGTTAACTCCATTAACATTGTTTGCATATTAGATTGAGCTAAATTTAGATTGAAACTAGGCTTCCGTGTGCCCAACATCATGGACTAATTGTTTTTGAAGTACAGATTGAAAAAAATTTGGTCAACTGAGGAGCGCTCTTTTACCCAGTGTTTTAAAACCCGGACCGACCTGGCCGGTCGGACCGGTTGGACCGGGAACCGGTGGTCCAGCCGGTTTGAATCTGAAGTTGGATCGGTTATGCAGTCGACCCGTTTCAAATCGGATTGAACTGGTCAATTTTCCGGTTCAACCGGTGAATCGGTGGGTCAAACCGGTTCAACCACTTTTTTTTCTTATTTTTTTTTAAATTTTTTTAAGAGATCATAAATCATAAAAATAATAATGAAAATTGAATCTCTTAATGAAAAAGCAAGGAGTCTTATTAAATATAACAATGACTACTTGTTCTAATATATTTGTTTGTAATATATACAACTTAAATAACTTTTATAGTATATTATTAATTTTAAATTATATATTTAATAATGCAATATCTATGTAAATATTACATATATTATTTTGTGATATTAATTGCAAGCATATTATATATGTACATATTATTTATATTTTTAATTTGTATTAATATACCGTTTAACATGTAATTTTTTTATGTATTTTTTTACAAAATAAAAATAAAAATAATTTTAAATAAGATAGAAAAATTGAAATTTAAAATAAGATATGAATTTATTAAAATTTATAAGTATAAAATATATTTAATATGAATATTTTTTAATAAAAATCAATAAAAATCGAGTCATGCGGTTCAACTAGTGACCCACCGGTTTAATCTTTGACCCACTGACCAGTACCTTAACCGGTTCGATGACTGGTCCGGTTTTTAAAACTATGTTTTTACCTTTCCAGATATTTCTGGTGTGACCAGACACATTTACATTTAGCTTTGTGGAATGCTGACTACTTTTTTAGAACTGTGAATGAATTTGAACAAAGATGAAATGTCACCTCTAGCAAGTAATAAATGCTATCGGGGAATCATAGTATGAACTGATTAATCTGTGTAATTTTATTTGTTTTAGGAAAAAAGAAGTTTTGTAGTAATAATTTCTGTTGATTGGATTGGTATTAGAAAGCATTTTCACCATAGCGTTTTACCATTTGTTAGAGTTACAGCCCGTGTTTTCGGCTCTTCTTGGATTTTGGTTAAGGTTCCCTGTGAAGGATTTAGAAATTTCAAGTTGTGGGGCAATATTTATAAAACAAAAATTTATAATACTAAAATTTTAATTTACTATTTGAAATTTTAGATATATATCATCATTAATTTATTATAATTTTTCATATTTTAAAATTAATTAATGAATTTTTTTATATTTTTAATAGTGAAAATTTTCTTTATATAAATAATTAAAAATTTATTTAATCATTCATCTTTTTTTATTTTTTATGATGATTCTTATGGTCTATTTAGAATGATGAAAAGAAAAAAAGAATCAAAATAAACACTTTATACTTGATTTTAATTTTTAAATACATAATTCCCCTTTAGATATAAATATCAGACAATAAAGAAAATTAGGATTGGAAAACATAAATAAATGAGTTACTAAAAGATATAGAAGTGAAATACATGAGATGAGTTTTGAAATTGATTTTTTATTTTTAAAAAACTGAAAATAAAACACAATCCTTTATATAAATTATAACAAAATTGAAAATAAAAAAGAAAAATAATAATTATGGGAAGAAATATAATATATATATATATATATTAATATTAAAAAATAAAAATAAAAAAGTAGTGGGGCAGCTGCCCCGCAATCCATAAGGTGAATCCATCCCCGGTTCCCCGTATTGAGTTTGAATATTTACAGCTGGACTTGATTAAAATTAATTAAGCATGAAACTCAATTCAACTTCAATAAGAATATATTTTTTTTGTTGACTTGAGCTCAGTTTTATTCTAGTTTGTGAATCGTTTGAATCAATTTCTTAGTTCAAATTGTAAGAATTAATAGTAAGAAATTATTTTGAATGTTGAATAGCCCAAATTCATAATGTGATAGTGACCATTTGACAAAATGATATTAATATGATTTAAAATTTATTAAAAGTAAAAAATTGAAATTTCAATATTAAATATAATCATAAAATTGAATTTCTTATAATACTAAAATAAATGTGCACATGAATTAATTAATAAATGATTATATATACTCAACATAAATAAAATGTATTATTTAGTTTTAAATTTGGGAGTACGAGAGGGATTATATTATATTATATAAATTATTATATTATTTAATAACTTTATATCGAATAATTTTATCTTATAATTCCTTTTTGATCGAAATATAAATTAATCGATAGAAATATAAATTAAATGAGTTGAAATATAATTTTTGTTTAATTAATTCATAAACCAAATTCAACTACCCAATCAACTTACCGAGTCTCGAATTAGTCATGTTCTCTCCACTAACCAGCTTTGGCACGAAAATCCTTCAAAAACAGAACTTAGCCACGGGTTCATAGGATAGGAAGCAAGTTACTGCATTACATTGCATGTGTCCTGTGTGATTACTGATTCCATCATCAGAGCAACACCTTCCTCACCCCCAAGATTTCCTTTGCAGCTGCTATATCATTGACTCAACGCTTTTCAGGTGCTGCCACAACCTGTTCTAGACTCATGTAATAATATTCCTATTCAAACAGGCAACAAATCCTCTATCCTTAGAAAATATCCACATCCATAGTAACCTTAAATCCAAAATTTGTCCATTTAAGATGATGACTGAAGCTCGTTAATCTCCCATGACAATAACCATTGGATAGTTCACAAAATGAATGAGAATGACTTCACTAATCTACTTGTCACTTCAATACTGGGGCTATTAGTCTTTGTAGCACATGCTTTTCTTTCTCTTGTAAATTTGCAATGATATAGTCTATATTGGATATAATTGTAAGAACCAAAGATCTATAAGAGAAATGTTAGACCTTTAGTGATGAAACATGTCAAAATTTGTGATTTTCAATTGATAGTAGAGAGAGTATTAACAAAAGAGCGTTAGAGAGAGCAATTTTCGCCAACATTTCTCATTTCTACAAATAGTAGAACACATTTATACATTTCTTAGTAGTTAAAAAATGGCAAAAGAGCAACAGTAGCCAAGATAACAGGTATAGCAACCGACTTTGAAATGCGTCCCTTGTCCTTCCTTATCACCAGCCCTTCAATGATAGGGTAGTTGACAATAATAATAAAAACTGCAAGGAAAAGCTGTATAAACATTTTGTCACAATCACCGACCAAGAACACTCTGTAGACTCCTCCTACGAAGCAAGAAATGTTGATAGTGAAGAGGGCAAGCATTGGAACTATGAAGATATTTGATGCTTGGAAATCATATTTATCCATCTGATACAACAAAGTTTGTTCATTATCCTCTGATTTATTAGTGGGCAAGAAACTAGCTTCTCTTATTCCAACTTTCTTTAGTAGAGCATCCAAACATCCATATAGATGGCAAGTAACGGATTTCATCATCCAGATCCTCTGCTCGTTTATCCACTTATGGAGTGTTCCACCAGTTAAGAAGACTTCATGCAAATCTTTTAGAAGAGCTGATAGGAAGATGAATACAAAAACAATGAAAAATGGGTCTGAAACCTGTGAAAAAAAAAAAAAAAAAAAAAAAAGTTTTGGGTTTTTATCCTCTGCTCGTTTATCCACTTATGGAGTGTTCCACCAGTTAAGAAGACTTCATGCAAATCTTTTAGAAGAGCTGATAGGAAGATGAATACAAAAACAATGAAAAATGGGTCTGAAACCTGTGAAAAAAAAAAAAAAAAAAAAAAAAGAGTTTTAGGTTTTTAGCATATTGTTGAAAACAGAACATAAAATACAGGGTATATGACTAAAAAAAATATAATAGGTTGAGATTAGAAAATCTGCAACTATACATATACAAAATAGAGTAAAACCGGATACAGTATATTTGGATTATGAATTTAGTCTTTCACACATTAAAAGTATTACAACAAATGCTTAAATATTAAAATTAACTAGTTCCTAATTGAGTAAAGTTAAATAGATAATTATAACTAAGCTAACCAGTATACATCATTTGCCTACACAAATTACTTTTCTGAACATCAACCTTTAACTAACCAACCTTATGATAAAAATAGAAATTGTAGAGACATCAAAGTATTCAATTATGACAGTGGAAAAATCTTAACTTCCAATACATATGAAGCAAATATATGTAAGAATGTGAGATTCAAGGGACAATGATGCTAAGTGAGCTCATTACTGATGTTACCTTAGGGTACAAGGGTATTCCATTTAGAAGACAGAGCTGAGGGATAGTAGCAAGACACCAAAGTGGCAAGCAATAAAGAGGGAAATATGTGAGCTCTGCAAAACATAGACTCTGGAGAAGTGGCATTCTTGAAGGCCCATATATAAGGGGGCAAAACCTATTTATGCCATTTTCGAACAAACCACAGTACCATCTAGTGCCTTGGATTAGTATATCATTCAAATTTGTAGTAGCTGAACCTAGGAACTGTGGTCTAGATGGTTCACAGAAAACTGAAGTCCATCCGTTACAATGCAAAACAAATCCAGTAAGGTAGTCTTCTACTACAGTACCATATAAGAAACCAACCTGCAACCGTTCAAAAAATATGTACATAATTTTTACTACAAGAATTTTAAGTGTAATAACTGAATTTATGCAATAAAAAAGTCTACTACCTCTTGTCCCCATTTACTGCCAATTTCATACTCACAAGAAGCCAACAAGTGAGGCTCTTCTAGCAATTCATTTTTACCAAATGCCAAATCCCTTGTATAGTTTTGAGTTAGTGATCTGATGAATTCATTAGATGTACCAAAGTATTCTTTAAGTTTCAGCAGATCAGTTCCTAACATTCAAAAACAAAGAGCAGTAAAGAGTATGGTAACCTCTCAGCATAAGGGCAATGTTCATAATTCATATGTCAATGTCATTTGAATTCCTGTGTTTCAGAAGCAACTAGATATATAATGGTGCTTAATACCTTTACTTGCGAAGTTTCCAAACAGTGATACCCTTTTTATATAAAAACCTGTACCTGACATCACTGGTCCCTTAAGCCCATCCATACCTTGCCATTGTACCTGAAATAGTTCAAAATAAATTAGTTAAACAAAGAAAATATTGCACCATCTTATACAATGGGTGACGCCAAAAAATTCTAAAGGTTTGTTTTGATGTCCTTACTGTAAATAATGATCTCATCTGACTATCATAGATGTCATTCTTGCTAATGTTGTAAAATTTCTGAGGAAATTGAACAAAAGCCAAGGAGGATGATATCTTCAGATCCAGGTGAAAGCACATGGCATATCGAGCAGAAGTTGGATCATTACAGAACATGTCACAATCTAGAACTAAAATGTATGGAGAATTGCTCATCACGGAAGAGACACGAAGCTGCAAGATTATTATGTAAGGATGGGAAAGCATTACATTTATTGTGTTAGTAAAACAAGTTCTGTATATACAATTTGGTATATAAATAAAAAAAGTACAGTCATACAAGGACATTGAGGGCTCCAGCCTTGAAATGATGGGGATGAGAAAGCTTTTTCTCACGAGAAACATAGACAAGGAGAGGCATTTTGACATCATCTACATCATCACTGATACTTTCTTGCATCAACTGCCAAAATCAGATTAATTAAACAAATTATCACCTATGTTGAAATTCCACATTATTATTGACTGATGTTATTGTCATATATAATATAGTAATTTATTAAGAATACTAGTAGCTCAAAGAAGACCATGCTTGTGATGTTTAACTATTCTCTATCAAACTGGTCAAGTGGCCCAATCCAATATTCAAGCCAAAATGATATGCCAAACGCTTTATACCTCAACGACAGATGGGTGATCTCTGGAAAATGCCTTATCTTTTCTGAATGTCTTTATCTCTTCTTTGAAAGCCTCATACTTTTCCTGCAAATTATTGACTCTGATCATAAAGTGATATACTATAATAATTTTTGAAAGGTTTAAAATTAAATACCTTTTTTCATTCTTACAAATATATCACGTTTCGTTTTCAGTTCCTTTTTAATGTTTAAACCTCTCGTTTTAGTCTTTCTCTTACAAAAATATTTAGGTGGTTCCATCTGTTGTTGTCATGTGGCAACCCCATGTTACAACTTACAAAACTGCTTATGTGACAATATAAGATGAAACCATATAAAAATCATAAACAATTAATTTTACTTTTTAACAGGAACTAAAAGGCAAAAAGAGGTATATTTAATAATTATAAGGACAACCCAAAAAAAAAAAAAAAAAGTTATAATGTGAACCTTGATCTTTTGCTTATCTGCCATGTACAAACTACTACTCCTGGCAAAATCACTATGATCATCATCCTCCAAAGAAAAGTAAGCCTTGGGGCACCTGTCCCTTATTTTGTACCTTCTACAAAAGGGAAGCCACCACCTAGCAAATTTCCAAGCCTCCCTCATCCCATGCAGAGTCACAGGGGACCCCCCATCATCTGAAAGATACACATGAAGCTTCTCTGTGGGGTAATCAAGTGCCATGGCTGATAAAACAGTGTTCATCACATCCAAAGTGGGTTCCTTAGTTGGATCTGCAGTGCATATGAACACATCAATAGTAGGAAGTTTGTCATCTTGTGGCAATCTTTGTGGGAAGACAGAACGCGAAACGGGACGCCAACGATAGGCTTGGTTAAGGATCCAAATGAAGGAGAGAATGATTTCTGAAGCAAAAACAAGTAGCCATGGTAGCAAGTGGCTTTCTCTGCTCTCTGAGTGTTGGAAAAGAAAGCACACCCTGTAATGCAACAAGAAGAGTAAAGCTGTGGAGTGGAGTAGCATGTGTAACCTGTTGATGATAAGCAACAGCTTTTGGACATGGAAGGTATTCAGAGGAAGGCTCTCATCATTGGAATCCATTTCTTCACTTGCATGCAATTGATTTGTCTCCCTTGATTCTTCTTTGGTTATGATGTGCTATTTAGTCAAATCTCAAATTAGAAGGTATGAACTAGATTTCGATAGTAAATAAACGAGAGAATTCAAGTGAAAATACAAAGAATCCATTTGTATGTCTCTCACGTTTCATATTATATACTATATTTAGTAGATCGTGTAATATTTGATTTTTAATTTTAAAGTTGTTACATGAATGATTAATTTTTAATATTATTTTTATTATTTAAATATTTAAAAATAAAATTATCTAAAAATATATACATCAAATGAATAATTTTACTTATTACATGTTATAAATTATTATTTTTTATTTTTTATTTTTTTTATGTAATGATATATATATATATATATATAAAATAATGTATAAATATCATTTTTTTTGTCACAAAATCTTAATAAAGTTTTTTTTTTCTGAGTGTTAGTTGTACTTAGTTGTAGATTTTTCATCTTTAAGATATAAATAATAAATAAATAGAGAAGAAATTACTTACTTGCAGATAAGTTTATCTATACTTATTATTAAATTAGAAATTTTTAATGTATAAGTTAAATTTACAAATTTTTAAATTTTAAAAATTATTTAATATTTAATTTTATTAATTTATATCAAGGTATGAAATGTATTTATGATTATTATTTATTAATTTGAATTAATAAAATATATACTTAATTTATATATTAAGAAATTTTAATTTAAAAATTAAATTATTAAAATTTTAATATAAAATATTAATTATAAAATAAAATGAAGGAGTAAATAAATCCTTCCTTGAACTAGTAAATCTAGCATATTATATTCTCATTGATTGAGAAAATAAATTAATTAAAGAGGAGAGCAAGACGAATCATGAAGTTTTTTTTTTTAATCAAAACATCACCGATAGATTAAAAAAGTGACATGTTTATGATGAATAAAAAGAACTATTCAATTAAAACATAAAAATGACAACTAATCAAAAGCCTACCAAATAAAGAATTGGTATGTGGGCGTATATATATGACTGATGCATGCATAGCTTGATTTGGTTGTTTCAACTTTGAACCGCTGAGTATTGACAAAATGGCATTGAGACTGTCTTATTGTTGCCGTTATTGGAGGAGCCAACTTTTGATGTTGAAAATTCACTAATTTCCACAGTCATGCAGCCGAAACTCAACTCAAAAGTCAATAGTTTATTGTTATATAATATGATAACGGATAAGGATGACTCACTCCACTTTCAATTCTATATGATTTTACATTATCACTTCTTAATTAGCCTAAAACCAAATTCATTTTTCATTGATAAACTAAACAACATAGTTTTAGTTTATGGCTTCGCATCAAAGGCGGTTACTAGCCAGCCAGCGTATATGGGAATACACAATCTTATTAAACAAGCGGTATATTATTATCGGACCGAGATTCTCTTTATTCTTTTTATTATTATAGCTTTAAAATATAAATAAAATTGAAATATATCACACATAATAAAAGAATGTCATTTATTTTATTAAAACTATAATAACAAAAAATAGGGAAAATGGAGAGATGCCAAACAATCTAATAAAAGATCCAGCTCATAAGCTTTGTTAATTTAAGAGAGAAAGAGAAAAATTGTGTAACAACATGACATATTATTAAAAAATATAATATAACAACAATTTATCATATAATTTTTATTTTATTAATATTTTTTATAAGTACATGCGCGCACATATATATATATATATTGAATTACAATTAATTTTAAATATAACATATATGTATATAAAACTATACAGTAATTCAAGTAATTGAAAATACAACCTAAGGAGTTGGTCAAAGTACATCTATAAAAAATTATATAAGTGTAACACCAAAAGACATCACTCCATCATTTTTTCCTTAAAACTATCTTTATTGTTCTTATACTAAGTATGATTATCACAATCTAACCATATAAAAATACGCAAAAATAAGCTAAAGTTCAAAGAGTCAACATACACAACTCAAAATATGATCAACGCTCATATTATTAGGTTTTTCAACTAAGTCCAACATCACCACACCTAACATGGTGCATAATCTCATCTCATATTTAACCAACATCAAATACCACACCTCATTCAACACTATTAGCATAACAACTCATTTTATTGCAACACAATGTCATAACACAATCTCAACTTAAACAATACAACATCAACAACTCATATTTCAACACATCAACACATTTCATCATAGATCAACATTGCATATGAACAATACAACTAAGTCAATATATCATATGCACAACACAACAACTATATGCGTTATCACATATTTCAACTAGGAGATCTTCTATAACATAAGTAAATAGTCTAAGTGTCTTAACTCTACTAAATCAATCAACACATATGATCTTTTGGGTTTGCTAGATCAACAAAAAAATTTGGATATATCAATCCACAACATAAACATGGTTGCTTAGATGTCGCCACTTAAATTAAGAAAGTACGGTTCTACTGTCAAGATTAATATAGTTAGATATAGGCATACCACGACCTTGACATGCACTAACTTAAACCCTAAACCTTAAACTACTAAGTCACTTATGGAGTTAGCTCACTAACTATCTGCAAGGAACCATGCAACCTCTCCAATAATCAGTTAAGGGTGGTGACTCTCAAATTCATACTTTACTCCACATTGACTAATGATCTAGAGGAGACTCAACTTTCCACTTCAAAGGTCAATTTTTCAAAAAGAGCTTTCAACAAATTGGACTTTCAAAGTACCATAATACAATATCCATACAATGAGATATACTTTTAAAACAACTTATCCTTTAGTTATAGGTTGATTAACACAATTCAACCTTCAACACCATGCCTAAAGCATTCTTAACATTCATTATCTCAACAACACGATAACATCATGCGTAGTATATTCAACACAACTACTCACTAAACAACATACAACTCAATTCATCTTTCAACTAGTATCACTCATAAACATCATCTTCATAAATCAATGTATATAACATAAACAACATTTTAAATCAACATACAACTTTCAACTTTAACAACTTAAATATCATCATTCATCTATCATAACATCATAAATGGTGTATCAACATACAACACACAAATTTATCATCAATACAATTATAACAAAACTTAAAACATCATACTACTTAAGCAACTTATCACAATAGGCAACTTACAACATAATTGTTAACATACAACATATCAACTTTCAACATATAGATTTCATTATCATACATACAACTTATTCACCATCATTTAGTCATAAAACAATTCAAATAACAAGTGTTCAACATTCAAGTCATTCATCAAGTAAGTAACCAAATCAATTAGAAAGAAAATTATTTGATTAAGTTTTTACGTTAAGTGTAGAATCTCACGCTAGTGTCAAGATTCCAGAGAGTTATATAAGGATTTTTGTAATTTCTCACGTTGAGCGTGAGACTCAAGCTTAGCCTCAGCCTCCCAAAAGTACATCACTTCTCACACTAAACGTGAAAATCCATACCTAATTGACCCTTTGTATATCGACATACAATATATCAACTTTGAAAGTATGATAAAGTGTTAGTAAAATAACTTGTAACTTAAATTTATATTATAAATTGATTGTTATTTTTTTCTTTTCATTGATTTACTATGTTACCTTACATGTATTGTTGAAAAATGATCACTCTTTACATGTTTTTGAATCAACTAATTAAATGTGTATCATATCATAATCATGTTTTTGAATCAATTAATTAAATGTGTATCATATCATAATTAGTTGGTGGATGTATAAAATAGTTATGTTCATGGTAACTAAACATACAAACTACACACCAAACTTTCAATAGTTTGAATTTTCCATTGTTCTTCATCCTTTGTTAAATTAAAATATTAAATGAACAACTAGTAATTTAATTTAATTTAATTTAATTAAAGACATTTATAGTTTATGGTTTTGGTGTCAATGCATCACTCATGAGTCATGTCTGTTATGATCACTGGAGATTGTAACGCGGTTGCCACCCTTGTTTCCATTGCATCGGTTGACAAGTTTGGGAGACGTACTCTTTGTTGGATAATCTTAAATTTTAGAGATATCTGAGTTAGCTTATCTGTTTTGTTTGTTTCATTTTAGATAAGATAGTTTTTTGATAAGATCTGTTTTGATAAGATATTTTGTTATCGTTTTGTTAATTCGGTACGTTGTACAATGGCTATTTAAAGGTCATCTCTTATTCAATGAAAGTACAGTGAGTTGCTACGTCCACACAATTTTTAGTATTACTCGTCTCTTATTTTCTACAAATTGGTATCAGAGCTTTATGCTCTGAGTGCCGAGTGTGAAAGGAAAGCAGTGTGCGCCTGTGTGTGTTTTGAAAAAAAAGGAGAGAGTAATGGCGAAGGTTGTTAATGGAATGACCGTACCACAACTGTCAAAGAAAACCAATTATGATAATTGGTGTTTACAGATAAGACCCTGTTGGGTTCCCAAAGTCTATGGGACATAGTGGAGAAGGGGTTCCAAGAACCCGAGGAGGACGAAGACCAATCTGTGGCTCAGATTGCCGCATTGGAAAAGACACGAGTAAAGGACAAATCGGCTTTGTATTTTTTGTACAATGTCGTGGATGAATCAGGCTTCGAGAAGATTGCAAATGTTGCGTCTTCAAAGGAAGCATGGAAAATCTTGGAGGTTGCGCACATAGGTAACCACCGTGTTAGACAGATCCGACTTCAAACTCTTCGAGGAGAGTTTGAGTGTTTGAAGATGGAGGATAAGGAACGAGTATCCGAGTACATAACTCGGGTGGAGAAGGTGGAAAATCAACTCGGAAGGAATGGGGAGCCAATGCCAGCAAGTAGAATTGTGGAGAAAATCTTGAGATCATTAACAGATGATTTCGAGAGTATTGCATGCGTAATTGAGGAGTCAAAGGACTTGTCAATTCTCTCAGTGGAAGAGCTCGCTGGGTCACTCGAAGCCCACGAACAAAGGAGGAGGAAGATGAAGGATACTCTTGATCAAGCATTACAGGCGCAACTTGATTTGAATG